CGCACCTGACAGTCCTTGTCCCCGCAGAAGCTGTGGAAGCACGTCAAGCACAAGTACGAGGCGGAGGAGAAGTGAGCCCAGGGACCCGGCACCTCCTGCCTGAGCCGAGATCGGCGCCTTCCTCTGGCCGGAGACCCGCACGGACGCCGCCTGCCGCGCTCAATCTGTTCAATAAACTCGCTGACCCGTACCTCTCGCGTGGGCGTCTTCAGTTACCTGCCCCTCTGCTCCGGTCAAGGGCTTGGCTCAGTCACTGCTAGGGGTAAGACTTTACACCAGCGTGGCCTCTGTGCTATTACTAAGGGCAGAAGCAGTTTCTCTTTGGCTGTGTCTAGACTGGCAAGTTTTTCCACAAAAGCAGCTGCGTTTGCAGGAAAAACGTGCCAGCTGTCTACACTGGCCGCTTGAATTTCCGGAAAAGCACTGATCTCATGTAAGATTGTCAGTGTTCTTGCGGAAATGCTATGCTGCTCCTGTTCGGGCAAAAACCCTCTTGCGCGAATGCTTTTGCGCAAGAAGGCCAGTGTAGACAACGCAGTATTGTTTTGTGCAAAAAAGCCCCGATCGCGAAAATGGCAATCGGGGCTTTCTTGCGCAAAAGCGCATCTAAATTGGCACGGACGCTTTTTCGCAAGAAGTGCTTTTACGGAAAAGCGTCCATGTCAATCTAGACGTGCTTTTCTGCAAAAGCTTTTAACAGAAAAACTCTTCTGTTAAAAGCATTTGTGGAAAATCATGCCTGTCTAGACACAGCCTTTTAGCGTAACCTCAAATAGGGGAAGCACTGATGCAGCTGCAGGCCTTTGCTTCTGGCTAGTAAAGTTCCTGTTGGTCACTTTTCAACAGCTGGTCCCAGCTGCACTTAAATATACCAAACTGGGGGGGGGAGGAAGAGTTAAAATGAAGGGGCTGTAAATAGGATGTGTAACCGGTGTGTTCTGATCACACCTGTGAGCCCTATAGCTCTGGGAAAGAAGAGGGCTGGAGTGCCACGTTGGGGCACTGGGAGGCTGTAGTGAGCTGTCTTCAGCAAAGTGTTGGGCCTCTTCTGCTCACAGCAGGAGTAGGTGACAGTGGGGGTGTAAGTGCCTGGTTCAAGTCTAGCTGATAGCGGTGCTACTCCTAAAACTAGGGAGCTAGGAACTAAAGCAGTAAAAGCAGTAGCTACCTGGTTCCTTTACAAATCCACCAGGAGCCTGGGGCTGATAGGAACCAGCTCTTCACTCCCAGTCTTTCCACCTGTAACTTGCACTGCTGTACTAGAAGAACTAGAGGACACCAAATGAAATTAATGGGTAGCAGGTTTAAAACTAATAAAAGAAAGTTCTTCACACAGCGTGTAGTCAACCTGTGGAACTCCTCGCCAGAGGAGGCTGTGAAGGCTAGGACTATACCTGGCTACATCTAACTGGCATGATTTTTCTGGGAAAAGTTTTTCTGTTAAAAGTATTTCTGCAAAAGAGCATCTAGATTGGCACAGATGCTTTTGGCA